GTCACTTTCCTTGAGCCATGAGTTTTATCATACCTCTTCTTAAAGCTATGTATGGATCCTGCCTCCACTACATCACTTCCCAAACTATTCTACTTCCTGACTACTCTGTGACTGAAGAAATACTTCCTAATATCCCTGTGATTCATCTGTGTCTTCAACTTAAAACAGTGTCCCCTTGTTGCTGTGTCCAGTCTCTGGAACATTCTGTCTCTGTCCATCTTGTCAATTCCTCTCAGTATTTTATATGTCGTTATCATGTCCCCCCTATCTCTCATGTTCTCCAGTGTCATCAGGTCGATTTCCCTTAACCTCTCCTCGTAAGACATACTCTATAGCTCTAGGACTAATCTTGTTGCAAGCCTTTGCATTTTCTCTAGTTTCTTTACTTGTGTGAGTGTGTGTACTCACCTATTTCTTCTCACCTATTTGTGGTTGCAGGGGTCGAGACATAGCCCCTTTCCCCGCCTCTTCACTGATCGCTACTGGGTCCTCTCTCTCCCTGCTCCATGAGCTTTATCATACCTCGTCTTAAAGCTATTTATGGTTCCTGTCTCCACTACATCACGAAAATCACTCACTACGAAAGCAAAAGACTTGGCAGACGATGCACCATCCCCCCAATGAAAAGCAGGGGTGTCACTAGCACGTTAAGAGACCATACAATAAGTGTCAGGGGCCCGAGACTGTTCAACTGCCTCCCAGCACACATAAGGGGGATTACCAACAGACCCCTGGCAGTCTTCAAGCTGGCACTGGACAAGCACCTAAAGTCAGTTCCTGATCAGCCGGGCTGTGGCTCGTACGTTGGTTTGCGTGCAGCCAGCAGCAACAGCCTGGTTGATCAGGCGCTGATCCACCAGGAGGCCTGGTCACAGACCGGGCCGCGGGGGCGTTGACCCCCGAAACTCTCTCCAGGTAAACTCCAGGTAAACATCACTTGACAGACTATTCCACTTCCTGATAACTCTGTGATTAAAGAAATGCTTCCTAACATCTCTTTGACTCATTTGAATCTTTCAGTTTCCAATTGTGACCTTTTGTTTCTATGTCCCATCTCTGGAACAGCCTGTCTCTGTCCACCTTGTCAATTCCTCGCAGTATTTTGTATGTCGCTATCATGTCTTCCCTAACCCTCCTGTCCTCCAGTCGTCAGGCCGATTGTCCTTAACCTTTCATCACAGGACATTCCCCTTCGCTCTGGAACTAGCCTTGTTGCATATCCTTGCACTTTCTCTAATTTCTTGATGTGCTTGACCAGGTGTGGGTTCCAAACAGGTGCTGCATACTCCAGTATGGGCTTGGCGTACAGGGTGTACATTCTTGAACGATTTCTTACTGAGGTATCGGAACGCTATTCTCTGGTTTGCCAGGCTACCATATGCTGCAACAGTTATCTTGTTGATGTGCGCCTCAGGAAATGTGCTCGGTATTATACTCACCCCAAGATCCTTTTCCTTGAGTGAAGTTTGCAGTCTTCGTCCACCTAGCCTATACTCTGTCTGCGGTCTTTGCCCTTCCCCGATCTTCAAGGCTTTGCATTTGGTGGGGTTAAATTCGAGGAGCCAGTAGCTGTACCAGGCTTGCAGCCTATCCTGGTCTCATTTGTAGTCCTGCCTGATCCTCATCCGATTTAATTCTCCTCATTAACTTCACATCATCTATAAACAGGTACACTTCTGAGTCTATCCCTTCTGTCATGTCATTCACAAATACAAAAATAGCACTGGGCCCAAGACTGACCCCTGTGGAGCCCTACTTGTCACAGGCGCCCACTCTGATACCCCATTGTGTACCATGGCCACATACCATGACTCGTTGTTGCTTTCCTGTCAGATATTCTCTGATCCACTGCAGTGCCCTTCCTGTTATGTGTGCCTGATCCTCTAGCTTTTGCACTAATCTCTTGCGAAGAACTGTGTCGAAGGTCTTCTTACAGTCCAAGAAAATGCAATCTACCCACCCCTCTCTCTAGTGTCTTCCGTTACCTTGTCATAAAACTCCAGAAGGTTTGTGACACAGGATTTACTTTCCTTGAATCCACACTTGTTGTCGTTTATAAGCTTGTTCCGTTCTAGGTGCTCCACCATTCTTTTCTTGAAAATCTTCTCCATGACATTGAATACTATACATGTCAGTAAGACTGGTCTATAGTTTAGTGCCTCGTTTTTGTCTCCTTTCTTAAAAATGGGGACTACATTTTCTGTCTTCCATGCCTTCGGTAGTTGCCCAGTTGCAATGGATGTGTTGAAAATTGTTGTTAGTGGCCCACACAGTATCTCTGCTCCCTCTCTAAGCATCCTCCACCTTTCAGGTATCAAGGTCACTTAGCAGCTTCTTCACCTCCACCTTTGTTGTGTGTATTTCATCCAACACTTGTTGGTGTACCCCCCTGTTCTGACTTCCTGGGAGTCCTTTTTTTGTCTCCACTGAATATACTTCCTTATATCTCATGTTAAGTTCCTCACATACTTCTTGGTCGTTTCTTGTGAGCTCCCCACCTTCTTCCCTCAACCTGATTACCTGGTCCTTGACTGTTGTCTTCCTCCTGATGTGTCTGTACAACAGCTTTGGGTCAGACTTGACTTTTGAGGCTATGTCGTTATCGTACTGTCACTGGGCATCTCTCCTTATCTGTCCATATTCGTTTCTGGCTCATCGACTAATCTCTCTATCTTCCTGAGTCCTTTGCCTTTTGTAATTTTTCTATTCTCTAGTGCACTTAGTTTTTGCCTCTCTACCCCTTTGGGTAAACCAAGATCTCGATCTTTTCTTCCCATTATTTCTGTTGCCCTTAGGAACAACCCTTTCCTTTGCCTCCTTGCATTTTGTTGTTACGTAGTTCATCATTTCGTTTACTGACTTTCCTACCAATTCTCTTTCCCGCTGAACCTCCTGCAGGAAGTTCCTCATACCTGTGAAGTCACTCTTTTTGTAGTTGGCCTTTTCCTATCCTACTCCTGTTACCCTCTTTACTTGTAACTCTACTATGTATTCAAAGCTTAGAACCACGTGATCACTAATTCCAATGGGCCTTTCATATGTGATTTCCTCAATGTCCGAGCTACTCACGGTGAACACGAGGTCCAGTCTTAGTGGTTCATCCTCCCCTCTCTCTCTAGTAGTGTCCCTAACATGTTGATGCATAAAGTTTTCTAGTATCCCATCCATTATCTTGGCTCTCCATGTTTCGGGACCCTCATGTGGCTCCAGGTTTTCCCAATCTATTTCTTTGTGATTGCATTTCTGTGGCGGGTTATACATCATTGCAATGACTTCCTTATGTCCCCCAGACTGAATTGTGCCTACTATGTAGTCTCTTTCACCAATTTCGTCCATTCCTTCCATTTCCTCAAATCTCCATTGTTTTTTAATGAGTAGTGTAACTCCTCCTCCCAGTCTGCTCCTACCTTTCCTCGGGATCTGATATCCAGGTGGAAAAATTGTGTCTGTGACCCCTGTGAGTTTCGTTTCTGTAACTGCTATGATGTCATGCCACTCCTCACATTTATTTTTTGTTCCGTCCACATTCATATACCAAACCTTCAACTTCTTTCATAAAACTGTGGTATGGGGAAAACGATGCGGATGGGGGAGCAAGAGACCTGGTGGGGAACTATCGGGGGGTTGCTGTGGGGGTGGAGTTTGTGATGAGTGGAGTTAGATTGGCTGCATTGGGGATGTCGTGGTTGAAGCCTTTCTGTGGATGGTTCTGAAGGAGGTTGTATTTGCTCTTACTCCTGAGTCTACGTTCTCCTGCTCATCTCTGTCTTTGACTCTCCTTCCTCCTTGCGTCTTTGTACCCTCTCTTTCAGATTTTGTCATTTTTCTTGTGTTCTATTTCAGTCGAAGTACACCCTCTAGTACTTCGGTGTGTCCCTTAGTCGTACTTTCTCCTGCAGAATTCTGTTTCGAGCTGATTCTGCCTTGAAAATCACTTTGGCTGGCCGTTTTTTTTTCATCTTGTAAACCACCCTGTTCTCAGAAAATTTGTCAACCAGGTCGTGTCGTCCTCTCCTATTGCTTTCATGATACTTTCAATCGTTTTTTTTCTCCTCCTGTCTTCTTACTCCACAAGTTTCCCCTACAACTTCCAGGAGCCTGTAAACAAAAACTGACCACTTCCTTTCGTCCTCCCATTGTATTTCCTTTTGTATTCCTTGAGACGATTTAGTTACCTTATTGCAGCATTTCTTCTTTTAAGTTCTTCTGTAGCTGATGTCCCAGTGCTCAGTGGTCTGTCCTTTTTCCTTTTAATCTTTTCCTGGGCACTGCTGTGGTCTGTTAGGGCCTCTGCATAGAGCTTAGCTCCTCCATTTTCTTTAGTCCTCTCATTTGTTCCTGGTGTGCTCCTCGTTTTTTCCCGGGCTCCACGGTGGTCTGATAGGGCCTCTACACACAGTATAGCTCCTTAGTTCCCTACAGTCACCTCGTTTGTGACTGTGTATGTGTGCGTGTGTGTGTGTGTGTGCGTGTGTGTGTGTGTGTGTGTGTGTGTGTGTGTGTGTGTGTACTCACCTGTTTGTGGTTGCAGGGATCGACTCACAGCTCCTGGCCCCGCCTCTTCACTGGTTGCTACTAGGTCACTCTTCCTGCTCCATGAGCTTTAACATACCGTTTCTTAAAGCTACGTTTGGATCCTGCCTCCAATACATCACTTCCCAGACTATTCCACTTTCTGACAACTCTGTGACTGAAGAAATACTTCCTAACATCCCTGTGGTTCATCTGAGTCTTCAGCTTCCAACTGTGACCCCTTGTTACTGTGTCCCATCTCTGGAACATCCTGTCTCTAACTTGTCGATTCCTATCAGTATTTTATATGTCGTTATCATATCCTCGCTATCTCTCCTGTCCTCCAGTGTCGTCAGGTGTGTGTGTGTTGGGAGGGGGAGGCTTGTGCATGGATTTTGGTGTATATGTATCTGTATATGTGTACATACTCAGCAGAGCCTCATTATCTCTGTTCTTAAGATGGGTCATGTTCCCTCCGTCACTTGCAGATCATATCATACCTAGAGCTGTTACCGAGGCAGTACCCGCATCTAGTGAAGCTGACAGTGGCAGGACGTAGTGTGGAGGGCCGGCCTCTTCACCTCCTCACCATCACCTCATCACACTCCTCCACGAAACCTGTCATCTTTATTGACGGAGGTATGTGTTTATTACATTAAGATTTTTTTTAAATTTTAGTAATTCGTATTAAATTTTTTTTCTTTGTACAAAATCCCAGTTCATTTCACGAATAATCCACAAGCTGTGGATCAAAACTTTATGACTTACAGGGTTATCCTCGATCATTATCATTTCCACATTGGATCATTATCATTTCCATATTGGATCATTATCATTTCCATGTTGGACCGATAAGTCGTTCAATTTTCATTTTCAAAATGTTTATTAGTTGTGAGATGTTTTATTCTAGATGCTATGAGTTTTATACCTCATTAGTTAAGTTTTCTCAGGAGATAACATCATTTTACCAACGCTCTTCCTGGGTTCTTTTCGCTGTCTTTATCTGCCATACGTGATGAGTTTCCAGTGTGCTTCAGGTATTCATGCACGAGAATGGATCAGCCCGGCGGCGGCACTGAACGTGGTGGGTCACCTGCTGCAGACTCCCAAACTCACCAGGAACCTGGAGTGGAAGGTGATGCCTCTCATTAACCCAGACGGATATATCTACTCATGGACCAAAGTAAGACCAGTCTCCTCCACTCTCCGTCTGACGCTCTCTCTCTCTCTCTCTCTCTCTCTCTCTCTCTCTCTCTCTCTCTCTCTCTCTCTCTCTCTCTCTCTCCTCTCTCCTCTCTCTCTCTCTCCCCTCTCTCTCTTCTCTCTCTTTTTTTTTTTTTTTTTTTTTTTTTTACACAGGGTTTGACAAGGTTAAGGATCCCTAGCTTTATTGACAGCTATATTACAGGTTAAGGATTTCTAACTTTATTGGCAAGCTAAGAGCTGTTACCTACATCAGCTCATTTGAAAGCATTTTTATTGTTATGAGACATACAAGTACGGAACAGGATGAAGTTGGAGCCATCTGTGGGCCAGCATTTTCATTTGATCAACTGACTTTATCTCGTTGACATCATTATGCTGTACGAATGTGTTCCATACTCGAGTCATCCGGGGTATGTATGATCTCAGATGGAGTGATGTTCTGGAGAAGGGTACAGCCAGAGTGAAGTTGCTGCTTTCTGCCCGTCTTGTGGCATAAAAGCTTGTTTCACGCTGTCCTCGAAGTGGATCCAAGTGTGGTATTTTGACAATATTGGCCTTGTACATAACAGTAAGGCCACCCACATCCCTCCTATGTTGAAGGCTCTGCTGAAATGACAGATCTATCCAGGATGGGTCCAGGCGAGAGATGAGACGTCTTGCTCTGTTCTCTACTCTGTCAAGCAGTCGCAGATGAGAGGGGGGGGCAGGCAAACCAAGAAAATGGAGCAAACTCAAGGTGTGAGCGTACTTGTGCCTCGTACAGGATCTTGCAACCCCTACTGTCAAGCAGATGCGAGATACGGCGAAGTGCTGTAAGCTTCCTGGTGCCTTGTTTGCAAGATTTACAACATGGTTCTTCATGGTTAGTTTGGAGTCAAATTTCACCCCAAGGATATCAACTTCTTCTCCAGGTGCCAACATCCTCCCATTCATCCTTACTACTGCACCAGCATTACCATCATGGTGCCTAGAGACGATCATCATTTGCGTTTTCTCAGGTGCAAATGTTACTTGCCATCTATTTTCCCCAAGCTGATATAGCTCTCAGCTGGTGATTGATGTAGCTTAGAGCAGCTGGCATTTCTTCTCTTGGATAAGTGAATGTCAGTGTACAGTCGTCTGCATATGCATGTGATTCTGGGATGAGATGAAGAAGGTCGTTGAAGTAGACATTCCATAACAGTGGACCCAGCACGCTTCCTTGTGGAACGCTTGCCCAATAGGATGCCTTGCTGATTCCGTTCCATTGAGGACTACACTTAGAGATCTACCATGAAGGTAATCACTGAGGAGACATAGCGTAGAGCCTGCAATTCCCAGTGCTTGAAGTTTTGCTAAGAGGCCCTGGTGCCTACACCCGGTCGAAAGCGCCAGCAATGTCCAGTGCTACCACACAGCTGACTTTGGATTCATCCAGTGACTGGTGCCACTTAGTGGAGAGGTTTAAACAACAGATCAGCAGCAGAGTAACCTTTCCTGAAGCCATATGACGATCACAAAGTAGTGAGTGGTAGTCAAAAAAATTTGTCATTTTGTCTGAGATTGTCTCAAGGATCTTACCAGTGATTGACAGGAGTGACACTGGTCTGTAGTTGTTTTATTTCTGCTCTGCTCTTCTTTTTGTGAACAGGGACTACATTTTGCCTCTTTCCATAGAGAGGGCCATTACACTGTACTAGGCAGTGCTGAAAGATGCGAGTTAGAGGTGCTGCTAGCTGGTCTGCACATCTTCTCAACAATCTTGGGCTCAACTTGTCTGGGCCCACAGCCTTTTCTTGGTCAAGTGATTTAAGAAGGAAATGCACCTCCTCCTGCCTTATTGTCACCACTGACAGTTTTGACACAGTTCGTGCAGCTAGCCAAGGAGGGTCCCTTGCTGGATCAGGAACTTGCATTTTGGTAGCAAAGTGTTCAGCAAAGAGTCCGCCTTCTCTTGACTACTAGTAGAGGTGGTCCCATCCTGTCGATTTAGAGGTGGAATAAGTTCATCAGGCAGATAACCTTGTCTGTCCTTGACCAGGGACCACAGGTTTTGGAGCCTACCCTACCTGATGCTAACTTTCTTTTAGTGTCCACCTCCCATTTAGCAATGGCCCACTTTTGAACATCACCCATATGCCTACAGGCTTGCATGTGCAAGTTTCCTGTTATAGGTGGTAGGATGTCTCTTATACCTTCGCCATGCTTTGTACTTAGCAGTAGCAGGCCTCTCTAAAACGAAAGCCAAACCAAGGCTGATCTGTAGGCTTTGTCACATATTGCCGGTGAGGAATGTGTTCTTGTTGCAGATTAAGGATGTGTCCAGTGAAGGCTTTCACTTGGTTGTCAACATCCCCCTGGAGAAGAGCATTCCAGTCGGTGGTGGGGAGCTCAGAGCAAAGGGCTGGCCAATTAAACCTCTTTCCCATAGCCAGGTTGTGGCTGTGGACTCCTCACCTCGTTCTGTTGGGATCTTAAGTGGTGGTAAAAACAGCCTTGTGGTCAGACGATCCAACGTAGCCGAGGGGTTGACAAGTGACTATGCCTTCTGCCAGATCACTCACTACTGGTCAAGGGAGGAGCCAGAGATATGAGTAGGGAAATCAACAAAGTTTTCTCATGTCAAACACTGCAAGAAGGTCATCAAAGTCCCTCTGTATAAGGTGCTGGTTGAGGTCACCAACAATTATAATATGTTGACAGTTGTGTTGTAGCAGAAGGGAGTCAATATTTTCCATTAGGAAGTTGATAGGGTCTGCATGTTGCCACTGAGGTCTGTACATTGCACATGCTAGTACAGAGGTACTAGTGTTTATACAGAGCTTGAAGAACATCATTTCAAGATGTGTAGGGGTGGCAACATCTATGTGCTGGGCATGAACACTTTTAGAGAAGCACACAGCAACACCACCTCCTTGCCCTTGCCTGTCTCTTCTCATCCATGAGGTGTAGCCAGCAATTCTTGCAAAATTTTCTGGAGTCCTGTCATCCAAAAATGTTTCAACAACAGCTATCATGTCGGGACGTCGAGTGTTCACAAAGCTATGTGTGAGCTCTCCAACATTAGTAATGAAACCTCTAATGTTGGCCGACAGGATGCTGATAGACTGGCTCCTCATGATGAAGTGGTCAGCTTGAGGTGGTGGGTGTGTAGGGAATGTAAGGTGCCTGCCCTTGAGAGAGGTAGGGTACTGAGGCAGCTACAGGGATGTAGGTCTGTGGTCTTGTATAAGGCCCAATCCCACCTGCTGGGCTCTCTCTCTCTCTCTCTCTCTCTCTCTCTCTCTCTCTCTCTCTCTCTCTCTCTCTCTCTCTCTCTCTCTCTCTCTCTCTCTCTCTCTCTCTCTCTAATGGTGCTACAAAAGAAGGAAAATTTCCTTCCTAAATTTATAAGTTAAGGTCTCTTACATTCATTAGCTCATCTAAAATCCTCCTTATCATTATCCTCATTAATTCGACATTATTATGAATATATCACCAGCTCTGAGCTACAGACTTGATCTTCAAGACTGACATTATTATATTCCTTAATTATGTTCCACGATTTTTATTTTCTTGCTTTTATTTATAAAACTCTTCAATTTTATTTTGCTCATAACTAGGTAACGCCCTTCTGGAAAAAAACAATTTCCGTATAGAAGTAACAGGTGAGAGAGGAAGGTGTGAGATGAGAGACGGAGGGGTGAGATGAGAGACGGAGGGGTGAGATGTGAGACGGAGGGGTGAGATGAGAGACGGAGGGGTGAGATGAGAGACGGAGGGGTGAGATGAGAGACGGAGGGGTGAGATGTGAGACGGAGGGGTGAGATGTGAGACGGAGGGGTGAGATGAGAGACGGAGGGGTGAGATGAGAGACGGAGGGGTGAGATGAGAGACGGAGGGGTGAGATGTGAGACGGAGGGGTGAGATGTGAGACGGAGGGTGAGATGTGAGACGGAGGGGTGAGATGTGAGACGGAGGGGTGAGATGTGAGACGGAGGGGGTGAGATGTGAGACGGAGGGGTGAGATGTGAGACGGAGGGGTGAGATGAGAGACGGAGGGGTGAGATGAGAGACGGAGGGGTGAGATGAGAGACGGAGGGGTGAGATGTGAGACGGAGGGGTGAGATGTGAGACGGAGGGGTGAGATGTGAGACGGAGGGGTGAGATGAGAGACGGAGGGGTGAGATGTGAGACGGAGGGGTGAGATGTGAGACGGAGGGGTGAGATGTGAGACGGAGGGGTGAGATGAGAGACGGAGGGGTGAGATGTGAGACGGAGGGGTGAGATGTGAGACGGAGGGGTGAGATGTGAGACGGAGGGGTGAGATGTGAGACGGAGGGGTGAGATGAGAGACGGAGGGGTGAGATGTGAGACGGAGGGGTGAGATGTGAGACGGAGGGGTGAGATGAGAGGACGGAGGGGTGAGATGTGAGACGGAGGGGTGAGATGTGAGACGGAGGGGTGAGATGAGAGACGGAGGGGTGAGATGTGAGACGGAGGGGTGAGATGTGAGACGGAGGGTGAGATGAGAGATGGAGGGGTGAGATGAGAGACGAAGGGGTGAGATGAGAGATGGAGGGGTGAAATGAGAGACGGAGGGGTGAGATGAGAGATGGAGGAGTGAGATGTGAGACGGAGGAATGAGATGAGAGAGGGAGGGGTGAGATGAGAGATGGAGGAGTGAGATGTGAGACGGAGGGGTAAAATGAGAGTTGGAGGGGTGAGATGAGAGACGGAGGGGTGAAATGAGAGACGGAGGGGTGAGATGAGAGATGGAGGGGTGAGATGAGAGGCGGAGGGGTGAGATGAGAGATGGAGGGGCGAGATGAGAGAAGTGAGGGAGGGGTGAGATGAGAGAGAAAGGGTGAGATGAGAGATGGAGGGGTGAGATGAGAGATGGAGGAATGAGATGTGAGACGGAAGGGGTGAAATGAGAGATGGATGGTTGAGATGAGAGACGGAAGGGTGAGATGAGAGATGGAGGGGTGAGATGAGGAGGGGAGGGGTGGGAAGGGT